ATATTAACATCTATGGCAATAGATTGGTGACCATATATATTTACCCTGTATTTTTAAAATGTTTTTATGTTGTATGCTGCCCAGAGTCACTAACTGAGATGGGCAGCTATAGAAATTGAATAAATAAATAGCTATTTCTCCCTCCAATAAACAGCTGGGGGAGTCATTTTTTACCTCCAGGTTTCTGATTGGCCTGGAGCCAATCTGTGGGTCAGAGATCTTGTGAGTAAGGGAATACAAAAGCCATCTTTCCCACTTCTCCTGCCCTCCCCTCAACCCAGCAGCTGGTTACCAGGCAAGATGCATAGGAGGAACACGGCTTTCTGTTCTGATTGCTCTTGACCATGGTTTCCCCAGTCTCCATTTCAGCACCACAATAAATTAATCGTTTCTCATACCTTCGTGCTTCATTGCTCTCTGTTGCACTCAGGAATCTCTTTTCCTCCCCTTACTGCTGATCAGCCATCATTTGAAGAAAGAAGCTTATAATCATCAATTAAGTTCAGGGGGGGTGAGGGGAGGGAAAGAAGATGAACTTATTTTTGTCCTACCCCTCAATCCAAAGAAGTGCCTAAATAGAAGTAGGATGAAGGCTCTGTAAGTCTAATCAAGGAGGGAAGCAACTTAGAACTAAGGAGAAGTTTCTTGACAGTTAGAACAATTAATCAGTGGAACAACTTGCCTCCAGAAGTTGTGAATGCTCCAACACTGGAAGTTTTTAAGATGTTGGATAACCATTTGTCTGAAGTGGTGTAAGGTTTCCTGCCTGGACTAGAAGACCTCCAAGGTCCCTTCCAACTCTGGAATTCTATTAATAACTAATAACTGTTATTCATATTAATATGAATAACAAGAATCTGGAATTCTATTCTATTCTATTCTATTCTATTCTATTCTATTCTATTCTATTCTATTCTATTCTATTCTATTCTATTCTATTCTATTCTATTCTATTCTATTCTATTCTATTCTAATAAAGTGTGCCTGTCAGGGCACATGAAAGAGGCATGACTGTCACATTTTTTAAAAAAAATAAAAATAATCCTGCCTTTATTATTTTTATAAATAACTCAAGGCAACCATCACACACAATATTACTTCCTCCTCCTATTGTTCCCACAACAGCAACCCTGTGTGATGAATTGGGCTGACAAAAAGTGACTGGTCCAAAGTCATCTGACAGGCTTTCATGCCTAAAGCAGGACTACAACTAATTGTCTCCTGGTATCTAGGCTGCTGCTAGACCAAGCTGGTCCTTTTGTACACTTCGAAGGTTTCCATGGGGTACATAGAGGCCTCAGCCCTAAAATATTCTCTAGCTTCATCTACAGTGAAACCCTATCAGGCTCAAGGTGAAGCCCTTGATCAAGCCTTTATCTTGATCAAGATAAAGACTAGTCACTTTTGATTGCATGTTAAAACCAGTCCAACATAATATCAATGAATTGCAGCCCATCATGGTCAAAAAAATTACTTTTCCTTTACAAGCCGTTCCTTTGCAAGCCCCTTGAGAGCTGTATGCAACGAAATTTCATTTAAATGTATGCCAATTAGTGTACATTTAAAATGACAATAAAGTTGTCACTTTAAATGCATCTTGAGAGCTGCACTGGCTCCCGGTGGTCTTCCGGGTGCGCTTCAAGGTGTTGGTGACCACCTTTAAAGCGCTCCATGGCTTAGGGCCGGGGTATTTACGAGACTGCCTTCTGCCACCAATAGCCTCCCACCGGCCAGTAAGCTCGCACAGAGAGGGCCTCCTCAGGGTGCCGTCCGTCAGACAATGTCGGCTGGCGACCCCCAGGGGGAGAGCCTTCTCTGTGGCGGTGCCCGCCCTCTGGAACAACCTCCCCCCAGAGATATGTACAATACCAGACCTCTGGACTTTTCGTCAGGCCCTGAAAACTTATTTATTTCACCTAGCCGGGCTGGCTTGATCCCACTGTTTTTGGTTAAATTTAATTGATTTTAATTGGGTTGTTTTAAATTGCGGCCAAAATATTTAATTATTTTTAAACTGTTTTTTAAATTTTGTATGTTCTGTTTTATTCTGGCTGTTCACTGCCCTGAGTCCTGCTGGAGAAGGGCGGTATACAAATTAAAACAAACAAACAAACAAACAAACAAACAAACAAATAAATAAATAAATAAATAAATAAAGTTAGTCTAAGTTCTAAGTCTAATGGGGCTGCTGCTAATTACAGGCTGTTCTGCCCCAACAACCTAATAAAGCTTATTACCAACAACGGACTACAAATAAACAAAAAGAAAATACCTCTCTTTACAACAATTCTAGAGAATAAATATAACTTTTTATCAGTTCAGAAAAAAATACATCAGGTTCTAATTACACCAATTAAAGTTTGAGATCTTTATTCAATTTATCATTTTCCACTGTGGTATATGCCATCATAAGGGATCAGTGCCAGTCTGCATAGTATATAGGATGAACCGGCAAAATTAATAAACGAAATTTCAGTATTCAAAGATTAACGGGGGGAGGGGGAACTTCAGCTGTCCAAGGAACTCTGCCACTGACCTCAAAGTGACCATTTTTGAACAATGGGAAGTTCAGACTTCTAGCCTGGAGCCCCCTCACGAACTGTTCAAGTTCTTCAAGGTTGGGTGGCTTCAGAGCACACTGCACATCCAGCAGTGTGCACAAAGCTGCCCATTCTGGAAGCCCTGCCCAAAGTGGTTTAAGATTATGTGAATTGCTTTGTCAAGGTGAATCACTTCACCTCTTCGCTTCAATGAAGCGAATCATGTTGCTTCCACAGCACAAATTTCTTTGTTGAAGCGAAGTTGTTTGGCATAGGTCTACGTATTACCAAGCATGCTTGTGGACATTCAAACTTAACAACTCTGTAATTACTTTCGGCCTCCCATTTTAAATTGACTGCACAGTTTATAACCAATCACATCACTATGTGTGCGCACACGTGTGTATGTGTGAGTGGCTTAAAATAATGCTATTGTTGGAAATGTGCTGATCCAAACTGAAACTTTAATTACTATGATGTTATGCATTAAGTAGCACCCTTTTGGACAAAAATGACTTGGAAACAGGAAATTGTTTAGAAACAGGAAGACAATTAGAATTGTATATTTTTATGGTTGAAAAAGATTGATACTATAAGTCTGGCAACACACTCATTCTACCTCAATTATACTATCATTTGAAGGATTCTTAACTCTTCCTGTATTTTTATACAAAAGCTACAGCATTGAAAGTATATGGAACTTAAATGTTTAATCATTTAATTATAAAACATGACAGGAATCAATATATCAAGTTTTATCTAGTGTGTAAAGTAAGCATGCTTTTATGGGCTGTCCCTCTTCTTTCTTGCATATAAGGTCATATATAGGATGATTGATTGATTCTGTGCCATCAAGCCATGTTCAGCTCTTAGCAACCTTGTATGTAGACCTCCAGAATGATCAGTCTCCCTACCTGGCCCTTCAGATTTTACAAGGATACATCCATCCCCACGGAAATGAAGTCCATCCACCTCGCTGATGGTGTCTTTCTTTTTCTGTTTCCTTCCAATTTCCCCACAATTATAAAGGGACTAGAATGATCCTTGCATAATACGCCCAATATATAATTTGAGTCTGGTCAATTGTGCCTTGAGTGAAAACTCTGATTTTGTTTAATGATCGTTTGTTTGTTTTCTAGGCTGTCCATGGCATTGTCAGAAGTCTTTTCCAACACCATAGTTTAAAATTTTTATTGTATTTTTTTCCTACCATTTTCCAAAAATTTTAACAACCCATGTTATAAATCGCTGTCGCATCTTTATTTTTAAACACACACACACCTAAATTTACATGGAAAAAACTCTACTAAAAGATTTTTAATTCATCTTCTTTGTGAAAAATTGCCATTGTTTTACAATTGTTCTATTCATTTGTTGAACCTCTAACATCTTTTTTCCCTTTTATTTTATCCCTTCTTGACAGATAAAATCAAAGGGATCGAGTAGTTGTCATTAGGTGCTCACAAACCATACAACCAACTGGATCTGGTAACCTGGCTATGATGCTCAGGGCAAACAAAGAAAGCCACGCCATACTAATTTGAAATAGAATAATACTGACTATGGCAAGAACATATCTTCCTGTCTCCCAGGAAATTAGGCTGTCATTCCCATCATCTTTATATGTTCACTTTTGTTAATAAGAAAAATGACACAAATTCACATAAATGCATATTAAATGAATAGTTCTTCTAGTGCTTGACTTCGCTAGCATTTCTTTCCTCCTGGCACATTCTACCAACATTCCTTTTATTTCATCATTGATAAGAAACTGTCTAACTTTGGTGGGCTCCCTCTAAGACTCTATCCATTAATTTGTCCTTAATGTGCTAAGCATGAAAAAAGCTTCACTTGCATGTTTGTCTTGTGGTTTAGCATGTGTGTCAATCCAGCCCATCGGCCAGTTTCTATTCAATATATTTGGACAACCCAGAACATTGATCAATGTACTAGGAGGTTAAAAATGCTGTGTGAACACAATCTAAAAATTCTGTCTTGGCACCTATCTCCCAGTACATACTGTACAAGCTACCCATTCAAATATATGAATCAAATCTTTACCTGTAGTTTATGAATTTTTTCCATCTTAAAGAGGCAAGACAATAAATTTCCCATGCCCACTCAGTGTTTTGCGTAGCTGAATATGCTCTCATCAGGAGGCTCTCCTAGATCAAATTCCCAGAAGATTCTTTGCTGCATGTTTCACTGATTTCCTTTCCGTCCTCCCATTTATGCCCATCTCAAACCTTAGGCAGGTCCTTTATTGTGGGTTCAGTTATAAATAATACTGCAGACAGGTAGAAAGGCCTTTTTGGGCCAATAATCACTTACCATACCATAACAAAGATTATACTGACCATGATTCAGAAAAAGAAATGCCACTTTAAAACCTCCTGTGACAAGACAGACAAACACCGAGCATTTCCAGGGTGACGTTGGGGAAGAGAGAGAGTTGCTCACCATAGTCTTTCTTGCAATACTTCTTCATGTTTATCTTCAGCTTCCCTTTGGATGCCTTGCAGTAGGTATCACAATCTTTGGGGATGGACGAGAAGAGAAAGAAATATATGAAAGAAATATATACATATATATATGCGCATATACACACATACATTATAAAGTTAGTCTTAATACGCATGAAGGCATGTGGGAAGAAGGGAGGGATGCAGCCAAGGGAAAGGGAAGTGAGAGAGCAACTTAGCCTGCCATGAATAAGCAGCGTGCCTAGGAGATCCATCTGCCAGGACCTGATTGGGTCATCTAATGGGGGCATTCATTGAAAAACCTTCTATATTCCAAAGAAAGCTTTTCACAAAAGAAGCCATCCGCCTCTCCTTTCTTGTCCTCCCCTCCTTGTCTGATGAATTTTTTAGCCTGTCTTCTGCTGCCTGCTGCAACTCAGCTGCCTCCATGGGAGACCCTGGGCCTCCCTTATTGTGCCACCCAGATCTTTAGAGAGCCACAACTCTCCCCTCCCCCTTTCCCGGTTCTTAAACGGCAAACTGGAGCCTGATTAAAGCCCACAGAGGCCTCTTTGTCACCCCTAACCCAGACCTGTGTCAGGCTTTGGCATTCATTGCAGAAGGATTCTGGCTGGGGTCACCCCTCCACAAAAGGGGTCAGAGAGGAAATTAGCAGCCCATGAAGCATTAGCAAAGCCTTTGGCGTCCACTCTACTGGAGTGTGCAAATAAAATGCCCCAGTGGGATTGCTTCATTTCTAATAGGCCCTACTGCTGTGATACAATGGTTTTACTCCTTCTGAACATCATCCTGTGTTCCAGTGCTACTAATGTGATGCAGCATAGCCACTTTGGCAGAGCCTGCTGGAGCTATTTTGCATCACTTGGAACATGGGGAGCTCAGTTATGCTTTGTGCATCAAAGGCTGATCCTCACAGTCACATTTTACTCTCCCATCATTGGCTGGGACTGAACGGAGCTCTTGCGACTTGCTCTGACTGCTTGTTATTCTGTTGGAAATACCAAAAAGCACTTACTCTGCAGTGGCCTTCATGTTTATTCAAATAAACCAGGGCCGAAGAGGTAGATATGTTTCATGCTTGTGAAACAATCTGCAATGTACACACCTTGTTTATCTCACATATGAAAAATGTGTCTGAGAGACATTGCTCTCTTTATAAAAACTACTCAAAGCAGCATACATGGGGATCTCCAACAATTTCCTATCTATGAATTGATATCTTGTTAGTTTATTGAAAGCAAATAGCAATCAAATAAAGAGCTATACATTACAAAACGTTTAATCACCATCACCATCTTGCTAAGTACTTAGAATAATGTTTGGCATATTTCATACACTATGGAAATATAATACATAAAAACCAGTAACATCACAACAGGGTTGCTTTGCTGCTATAATCATTATACTGTAGTTTTTCCAAGCAACTCAGTCCTCCTGGCTCTCTCTACATATATAGTCATGCTTTATATTTTTGTTGGCATTATTTTGATAGCTTGAATCTATTTCATTCCAGAAAAAGGCAGCAGAATCAGAAGCAACAGGGACTCAGAAGCTGCCAAGAATTAGAAGAATGTCCCAGATAACTGCAGAGGAAGCAGAATCCAGGTGCTCCTTCCACTGAGCAATTGTCCAATCACTTCTCTATTGATTAATGGAAGAATAGTTCTCCTGGAACTGCTAATCAATGCAAACGTCCCCAGTAACTATAAACTAAGGTCTACAGCTAAAGTAGCCAATATACAATCTTAGAGGAGAAAATGACTCAATTGAGAAACATGCCTAGATTCAGGACAGATCAGCTCTTGTACCATTTTAATACTACTAATCACGAGTGGATTATTGCACTGCTTCTGACATACTTGGGAAGTTTGATTTCTTTAATCCCACAGGATCAGAGTAATCATCTCTTTGTTCCCCACCATCCCTGAATGCAAACTCACAGCCACCAGATCTAAAGCTGTGAAGCGAACTCGATTTGAGGGTGGAAAGATATTTAAGTGAGCATGTTGCCTCTTTCAACAATTTTTTTCTGGGATCACAAAGCACAAGCTCAGGAGAAGATACTGTTTATTTAAGGAGTTGTTGATTAAAATAATATGTGTTGTTTCCCCTTCCACCCAAATGTGTCTCATTCTCAGATTCTCAGGATAATTCTCTGTAGTTTTTTTGGCAAAGTTTTTCAAAAGGGGTTTGCCATTGCTGCCTTCTTAAGGCTGAGACCAGCTGGCCCAAAGTCACCCAGCTGGTCTTGTGCTCAAGGTGGGATTAGAACTCACAGTCTCCCAGCTTCTAGCCTGATACCTTAAACATTACACCAAACTGGCTGTCATGATGTACATTCACACACAATCTCTTTCCATTCAAATCCAGATCACTGCACAGCCCTGTTTTACCTACTTTTCCTTCTGAATCTTTTAACTGTTCTTGAAGCAATGCAGCAATTATTTCCTCCTGTCCAGGTATCCATATGGGCCTTAGCATTGGCTCTTAACTCTCAAATCCTACATGGAACCCATCCTTGGCTGCCCAAAGAAACCAGACGGGCAGGAAAAGGATTCAGGTGGTTGAGTTCAGGCTACAGAAAATCCAACCTAATCTCTTGGATTCTACAGAATTAGCTAATCCCAGATGACTTCACAAGAAGTTGCCCAGTCATCTCATTAGATTCGAACACATCAAACCACCATCTGTCTGTCTTCTTCTGGTCAGTTATAGCCAGAGACTTTGTAGAGATCCAACCCAGAGTAAATAAATTACCCAATTAGATGGAATAATGGATGGATCAGATTTGTTCCAATTTTTCCCTAAAACTCATCTTTGATTCTTCCATTCTTATCATTCACTAGAATAAAGCATCGCAAGCTATGCAGCCCTATGCTGACATGCTGTCACATTAACATAGATGAGACCAATTCATACTTTTTATCATTTATTCTTGCTCCATTCTTAATTAAAGCTACACCTTCATTTCCCTTTCATTCATTCATTCTATGGCACAAAATCAGAAGACATAGATTCAGATCTATTACATCCTTCTGCTGCTTCTTAGTTTTACAACTAAGAAAAAGTCCTTCATTTCAATAATTAATTTATGCTATTTGTATGCTATTAATTTATACTTTTGTTAGGAGACCAGTAATTTCATCACTGAATTCTTTAAGAATTCTCAGGTGGAGGCCATCCAGACTGTTTCTGTATGCTGTCTCAAGATGTTTTGCAATATCTTCATCTGCTACTTTAATTAGCGTTAGTTGTTCCAATTCATTCCCTGAAAAAGTCAATACTGGGCCAGGTCTCTGTCTCTTCTGTGGTAGCAGAGACTTTATACATTCCTTGAGCTTCTCATTCATTCTGTTGCTATCTAATGGCTGAACCATTGCTCTGGACTTTTTCCATTCAAATACATTTAAGTTTTTAATATTTCCTGTTTTTTTACCTCAAATTGTTTTTTAGGATTCCTTATATTACCCTACACTTTTTCTGCTTCTCTTTCTGCTCTGTGTTAGGACACATTTTAATGAAGCCATCTTAATTTTGACAGCTTCTTGGATGTTGGTTGACCCTTCATTACATTGGCAAAACATTACAGTCGAGCCTCAATGATTGTACTTTTAAATATCCTTATGAGGATATTTAATTATTTTGATCAGTGGTGGTATTCAATTTTTTTTACTACTGGTTCTGTGGGCGTGGCTTATTTTGTGGGTGTGGCTTGATGGTCATGTGATGTTGGGTGTGGCTTAGTGATCATGTGACTGGGCAGGTGTGGCTTGGTCATGTGACTGGGTGGGTGTAGCTGGGTGGTCATGTGAGGGTGGGTGTGGCTTGGTGGTCATGTTCTCTATAGGGCAGTCTTTGCTTGAGAATCCTAGTGAATCTGTGTCTTGAATCAATGCTATTATGCCGTGATTGTATGGACAATTAATGGCCCTGGTTAAATTCCTAAAGGACAGGTAGTCGCCACCTCCGCCTGTCGCTCCAATTGGGGGGGGCAGTGGCGGTGGGCGAAAGGTGAGCTCCAAGTGGTGGGGAGGGGGGCGCAGCTGCAACCTCGGCAGCTTTGGGAGACATTAGCCCAGTGGGGAAGGGAGTGGCGGCCTGGCAAGCTTTGTGGCTACGTGGCTGCGAAGCTTGCTGGGCCACCCCCCCATCTCCACCATGGCTGAAACCCTGGTGGCATCAGGAGATGCTAGCCCAGGGGGAGGGGGCTGCCGGCACAGCAAACTTTGTAGCCACGCGACTGCGAAGCTTGCCAGACTGCCCCCCATCCCTGCTGCGGCTGCAACGCTGGCAGCTTTGGGAGACACTGGCAGCGGGGAGGGGGCTGCCGACCCAGCAAACTTCGTAGCCACAAAAAAGCTGCTGCCATCGCTGCCATGTTCTTCACACATGCACATCCCATTGTACTTGCAAGGCAATGGGATGCGTGTGCGTAAAGAACATGGTGGCAACTAACATGGCAGGTGGGGTGAGTGAGCAGCAACCGGGGGACTGTTTTGGGGGCATGGCCAGCTGGCCATCATTACCGGTTTTGCAACCTTGGCCAAATTTCCGCCAACAGTTCGTGCGAACCAGTGCGAACCGGCTGAATACCACCTCTGATTTTGACTTTTCCTTTCAATCTCTTTTTCACCAGTCTGTTTATTTACCAGATTATATATCTGGCCATCTTATGCAACATAATTTTGAGTGGCTCAAAAACAACAATAACTGTAATAAATGCAGGAAAATCAACATAGAAAACTTCCAGACCTCCAACTGCTACCCTTCTCCATACATCCCTAAAAAAACTTTCAGGGATCCAGACTCACACTACCCACAGTTTTTACTGTTTTTCAGAGGGTTAGGAGGGTTGGGATCTGCTGAATCAAAGGGTCAGCTATTGAGAAAGCATGCTGTCTAGATCCCATTAGATTACAACAATTGAGGAAAAGGGCCTGAATCACAGCCACCATATCAGACCTACGTAAATCTCCTCAGGGAGAGGCAACCCTCAAGATAATCTGGTCCTGTGCCAAACAGGGTTTACGGGTAATAATTGACAACTTGAAT